TCAAATGCGTTAGAGTGAAATGCGATACATACAACAACCAAGATAATAAAACGTTGATATGTTCATGTTTTTTGGGGGGATAAAATTGAACTTTTAACATCACTCACAGGACATTTCACTTTGAATGTGTCATAAAATGTGCAATGTAAAATCATTTTGCAGAAATGTCACCACAGGCACGTTTTTCCATTTGAAATTGTGCGCTCAAATGAAAGAGATGCATTGTGGAAGTAAATGGGGTCATTTTTGAATTCATCAGATTAGATAATTCAAGAAAAAATGTGTCTGATATTACTTGGAGTTCATTTTTGGAAATGGAAAGTCAATTGTCAATTGTACATTGCACTCTGGGATACAGTATTCCATGCAGTGTGTGCTCGAGTTAAAAGCTATGTACTTTGGCAAACGCAGTACGTCACCCTGGTATTCCGTGCATAGAGGAAATCTGCATACTGCACACAGTTTGCATATTGAATGCTGCAGATATAATAAGAGCAGTGTGAAAGTATACGATTCCAAACACAGCTTTAGTATGTGTTTATATGTCTATGTGTGTGTGTGAAGGCAGTACATCAGAGCCATCAGCAGGGTCTCTCTCCGCTCCGCAGCCCTGCACTTGCTAAGCAGATGACGATAGTCGAGCAGGACTGCTAAAGCAGCACATCTGGAGTTCATCGTAACCCACACACACCGCCACCTCTGTGCTTATGACAACGTGGCAGTGCTGCTTTTCTCACTGTGAAATACGTTTACTGCAGGCAACAACACTATATGACATTCTAAATTTATAGTCCAGCTACTTTCGCACAAGATTGATTTACACAAAATACTAAAAAAATATATAGAATGCATGCCAATTTATTGAAAACGTTGTGATGAGCAGCAGCATTTAACTAAATATTCCCTAAACGCTGTTGAGTGACTTGAATCATTGAATCATTCTTTGAAGTAGTTCATTTACATGAATCATTCAAGTGAACCGATTCACTAGAATGAATAAGACTTTCCAATGCAGCATTTGAGAGAGAGTGCAATAGTTGCCATTGGTCAGACAAACCAATGATACCACCCCAAATTCATGTCAATTGTTAAGAGATTTTGCTCAAATGCTCAAAAAGTAAAGGTTGTTTGTTGGGATCCATGAAGAACCTTTCCATTGTTCTAAGATCCATGCAACCTTTCCATTGTACAAAAGGTTTTTATAGTGGAAAAAAGGTTCTTTAGATCATGACATTGTTCTTCACACTAAGAAAAAATGGTTCTTTTAAGAACTGTTCACTGAAAGGTTCTTTGGGGAACCCAAAATGGTTCTTCTTTGGCATTTTTACTCTTAAAAATAAAGGTTCTTTATGGGCATCAGTGGTTCCTTTAACATCCATGGAAATTTTTCTTTGCACAAAATGTTTTTTAGGTTTTTCAGATTTTTTAAATGTTCTTCTCAAATGGTTCTTTTAAGAACTGTTGACTGAAAGGTTCTTTGAAGAACCCAAAATGGTTCTTCTGTGGTGTCAGAAAACCCACTTTTGGAACCTGTCTTTTTAGAGTGAACCAACAGAGCAATGATTTGTGGCATATAAACCAATGAATTGCTTTGTTATATTTGTTGATTCTGTGTATTAAATTGGGAAAAGATAAACTATTGAAACCAATACCGATTCAGCTTCCCACTCTGAAGGGAAACAGAGTGTGCATGTCCCTGTTTGAACCAATTTTGGGTCTCCGTTGCTGTCAGCATTGAGAAACACCATCATCTGAGTTTATTTCTGAAGCTGTTTGAGGAAATTAGATGCAGGGGTGGTATTTCAGAATCCTGTCTGGAGCTCAACATGTTCTGGCTCTGCCACTGTGAATCATTAATGAGGCCGTTGTGAGACCGAGAGCAAAAGAAAATAAGCCCTGACCTCTAAATATGACACAAACAAGAGGATTACTTCCGTTACTCTTATTTATTTATTTATTTACTCTGCATGAGAGCATAGCGGTGCTTCAGCAGATGTTCACCTCAAAATCAGATGATAAATCCTTTTTAAATGTATGAAAAATAATTCAATTGCAATAATATTTTACAGTATTACCTTTTTTACTGTATTTTTATCAAATAAATGCAGCCTTGGTAAGCATAAGGGACGTCTTTCTTTTGTCAAGACTGGTGCAAAAAAAAAAAAGACTTTGGGGTTAAATAGTGGTTTTTAGTTATATGGAACACATTTCTACCATTTTCAATACTAAGCTTATCGCAATGCATTCTGGGATTACCTATTCTGCAATAAGATACACCCAATGCTACGTGACATTTTTGTCCAAATTATATGGTCTTTCTTTTGTCAAGACTGGTGCAAAAAAAAAAGAAAAGAATTTGGGGTTAAATAGTCGTTTTTAGTTATATGGAACACATTTCTACCATTTTCAGTACTAAGCTTATCGCAATGCATTCTGGGATTACCTATTCTGCAATAAGATACACCCAATGCTACGTGACATTTTTGTCCAAATTATATGTATATGTTTGAATTTTGTCAAAATTAAATGAATGTTTTGACTAATTGTCAGTAGCCAACCGAACTATAGTACTTTAACACATTTGACCATGTTTACTGTAAACAAGATTCTGCAGATTTTCACTCAAAATCCGAGTAGAATATGCTGAGAAAGTTTGCATATTTTGACTTGGATTTTTTTAAGGCATCAGTCTTGCTGTGTAATATTTGGAATAGTCAAGTGTGCATGTTCGATGCTTAAAATGCTGTCTAGGTAGATAGGAACCTCTGGTCTACACTGAAAGAATGAGGTCGCACTGAGAAAAAAAGACCAATTGTGATGAATGTCTCCTCAGTTTAAAGTTCAGTGCCACTCTTTGAGTTGAATGGGAGAATGAATGAAAGAAGAAGAAGAAGAAGAAGAAGAAGAAAAACAATTTTACTCAAAGCAAATGGTATCCCACACACACAAACAGCAAACATCACACGTATGTGCTGAGGCAGCGAGTTACAAATCTCCACTGACAGGCGTGACATGATATTGATATCTCGATGGGCACAAACGTGAAGATTCTAGTCTGGCAGTGCTTTCAGCCCCTTCTTCTCTGAAAGATTTCATCTAAAATCATAAACATTCACATAAAACAGCCTTTATGATTTCATGCCTGGATGTCAGACAGTCACTTAAATGAGCGTCAGGTGTTTGGCCGACTGCCCCGTTTTGCAGAAATGTGATTCCCAGTCTTGTCTCTCTTGTGGCGGACAGATACACGCTTATAATTCCATCTCCCAGCAACTGTTTAGAAGTTACAATTTTAATGCTTTGTTCCTGGACGGCGTCCCCTGGCTCTGTGTGCGGCAGCGATCTTAATCTCTTGAGCAGAATGTTGTTGTGGGAAGGTCTGGTGATCTCGTAGACTCATGAAAAGCAGAATCTTATTCCAACTGCTAACACTAAGTGGGTTTGCTTTTGGGAAGGTGAGAGAGAAAATGGAAAGGAAGAGCGAGAGGGAGCGAGTTGTAGAGGAGATCAGTTAAAAGCACACTAGAAGTCACTTCCTCTCTGGTGACCACAGATTTGCTGAGCTTTTGATTATTTCCAATGCTACCTGAACTCATAAAGCAAAGATATTTGGTCATTGTGAAAGCTAATGTCAGTCAGCATTTAATTCAGAACACAACCATATAAATATTGGTGGGTCCAAAAAGACTTTCTACTAAACTAGCAGGGTCAGAGGTCAGACTGTGACATAGATAATTGGCTTGGCTAAAAAAAGTTAAATAGGGGATTGAGTCCATAGAAAGCCCTATCTAGGTAGTCCATGATGTCAATGAGTCCAATATCTATATTTTTATTATTATTATTATTATTTTAATTATTATTGTTTTAATAATTAGCCTATATTTAAAAAGATACATTGTATTATTTATCTTTTCTATTTTACTATTCAGTAAGGATGTATTAAATTGATCAAAGATGACAATAAAGAAGTTTATAACGTTACAAACGATCTCTATTTCAAATAAATTCTGTTCTTTTAAACTTTCTATTCATTAAAATAATCCTGAAAACAATGTTTCACAATAATGGCTGCTAAAAATTCAGCTTTGCTATCATAGGAATAAATAATATATACATAGGAATAAATGTATATAGTATAATATTATATATAATATTAAAATGTATTAAAATAGAAATTGTAACATTTCACAAGAGTACTGTTTTACAATATTTGTTATCAAATAAATGCAGGTGTGTTGAGCATAATATAATATTTATATTTTCTAATAATATTAGACTAGTATATGTATAATACAGGTGCATCTCAATAAATTAGAATGTCGTGGAAAAGTTCATTTATTTCAGTAATTCAACTCAAGTAAATAAATTAAATATTAAACTAGGTAAATATAATAAATCTCAATTATTTATTATTAGTATATTTTCTCGTAGTAATTATATCTGCTTTAATTATAATATTTGCATTATAATGCTGAATTTAAGTATTATATAAAAATATATTTAAAAAAAATAATAATAATAATTTAAATATTACATAATACAACAGCAAAAAAAGTAAACATATACATTTATTAATGTCAATATTATATCATATTTAAACTTTAGTATTAATATTGAATGCTACAGTAGTATAATTTTGTATTGTTTTTGAGGGATGTATCATAATAATTACTTCTACATACATTTTATGTTTACTTTGTTTTACACAAGTAACTATAAAGTAAACACAATATTTACATGAGGGGTTTTTTTTTTGTCCACAATAAATGAGCACTGCCTTTCTCACCTTAGAAGCCAAACTAATGTTTTGAATATATTTGCTTATCTTGACAAATGCAAATGGAGCATGGATAAATTGAGCAGTATTATGACATAACAGGGCAACGGTAGCGTCCTTCCTTTGTATTAATATTAGTTAATAGTCACGTGACTCTTACCATGCTTTAAGTTCAGTATCATATGCTAAAACGAACCCGTCTCCCCCTCTATTTCGGGCACAGGAAGGTCTTTGGGTTTGGTCATGGACGAGCAGGCTGGAAGCGCAGGCAACAGCCCTCAGCACGGCCGCGGATCGGCCAGGCAGGACGTTCTCCGCTGCGGTTGGCTCCGGAAGCAAGGAGGCTTCGTGAAGACCTGGCACACGCGTTGGTTTGTCCTGCGAGGAGACCAGCTGTACTACTACAAAGATGAGGACGAGACCAAAGCTTTGGTGAGTCGCTGGTGATTTTGGATTTCATCATTTACTCAACTCATTTTTAAAACTGACAGTGTGCATCTTTACATGCAAACATATGCAGATGTGCACATTACACTGTTTAAAGTCTACACATCAGTTGCCAGTTCATTCACACGCAACTATCACGACATTCTCCGAGTTCAAATCTCATGCCAAGATGCAAACAAGAGAGGTGAAGAGAGAGTGACCTGATTTTTACCTCACTGAATGATGACTTGTCACGGTTCTTCATCTAACAATGGAGATTTTTATCCTCGAGGTCATGCAGCTGGGCTCGAGTAGGTGGACAAATGTGTTTACTATGGAATCAGGCGGGAATTTGAGAAGGTTCTGTAAATCTCCCTTAAAACCATCCCATCTTGTGCGTCTACTGAGAGTAATATGGGCTCTTTGCCCACAGGAATATTTAAGATTTATACCTTCACGTCTATATTTTAATGTTCGTCTCCTCTATATCTTTGAAGTTCCATGTTCAGCTTTAATTTTCATGTTTAATGCACTGTTAGAGCTTGTCGCAGGTTTTGTCAGCAGTCAGATATTGGATTTCAAGGGTAGGCAGCTTCTTCATTCGGGGTTTTTGTTGACAAAGCTATCAAAGGACACTGAATATGACTTTTAAAGGAAACGAGAGGCTTTGAAGTTCTTCAGACGACTATATTTGAGATTGTTAAAATACTTTAAGGATGGATGCTGTGAAGCTCTTCTAGAATCCCCCGGCAAATATTTACACAAATATGAGACAGTCTTCTATCAAAATACTAACATGTGCTCTACTTTGAGTAGTTCTGTTAGAATAACCCTTGCAATGACATTTTTTGCCCATGTTTTCATATAAAAAGTGCAATAAAGTAAATATTATAACAAATAATATAAAGAGATTTATTTATAATATTTGTGTACAATATTTTTATAATATTATAATTTAATATTTTGTCATATTTACTTTAAGTTCTTAATATTATTTACTATGTATAAGGTTAAAATATGAAGTGTGTGTAAAACATTTTATATTGTTTTATTTTCTAAACACATTCAATGTATATAACTTTCTAGTATTATAAACTAAGTATAATAAATAAATATCAATGATTTATTATTATTGTATTTTCTTTGTTATAATAATCATATTTGCTTATTTGGTTATAATCACATTTGCTTATTTGATTATAATATTTGCATCATAATATTTACTTTGATACACTTAAGTATTAATAATACTTTAGTATAAATATTTTGAGAAATTATTTTGTCATATTATTTACTATTATTTCTAGTTATACTCATTAATATTCTAATATTGTTCTAGTATTCTATTATTATTTATACTCTATATTTACTTTTATTTTCTTATTGTCTTCATCTATACATATTAAAAATATTATATATATATTTTTTATAAATGAAATATAAATGTATTATAATAATCATATCTCCTGTATTATTATAATATTTTTGATTATATTATTTATTTTTATAATATTATATAGTAAAGATTATTATAAATAAATGCATCTGTAATATTTTTGTAGAACAATCTGTGTGAAGCGTTTGGTTTATTTATGTTAGTGGAAGCTGAGGTTTGCGTGAATTGACTTGTTTGTCTGTAACCTACTGTACAATGTTTTATTGATCGATTCTCATTCATGCGTTTTCTGTGGGTTAATCCCTCACTGTGTCTGGACTGGTGCTTTTCGAGAGTGTATTGTGTGTGAACATTTACATCTCTTTGCACACGTGTGTATGAGTGCGAAAGCAATAGAAGGTGAACTCAGACATGCTTTGCCATGACAAAGCAAGTGCACGAATGCGAAACACAACAACCTAAATCAACCCCATGTGCCTAAAGATGGACTAGACCAATTCATAAGACCTGTGATGACCTGCTAACATCAAAACAGAGGATATACTCATGCTTTTTGATCTGCTTTTTGTTCCGGAGGCACTGCTAAGTATTTGAAGAGCGAATGGAAAGGCAGACATGAGTCAGTGGCTGTTATGACAGGCTGTTGTTGACACAATAACCAGACCTTCAACCATGAAAGAGCGGCTTTTGCTTTTTGCATATTGTTTAATCACTGGCATAAACTATTCCATATGCGCAGAACTAGTCAAAATAGTTCCATGTATGTGTGCTGGGCTCAGAGGTCTCCATGGCAACGGTTTGCAGTGCTACAGGGAAAACCACTGACAGCACACCAGACAGAAGATTCAGATCATGTTTTGACTGCCTGTGCTGAGAGAGAGAGAGAGAGAGAGAGAGAGAGAGAGAGAGAGTATATTTGCTCTGTATTCTGCAACCGTCTAATGTGAAACAGACAATTGTTCACTGCTTAACAAACAGGCTTTCTCAAAGTTCTGCAACCAGCCAGCCATCGCTTTCCAGTTGGAAATCATAGATACAGCATCCATCCATCCATCTACCATCTATTTGTCTGTCTATCTATCCATCCATCCATCTTATAGTTTATTTTATCAAATAATACATTTTATTATTTTCATTGCTTTAAAATGACTATTAAATACTTCTATTATTACTTTTATTCAGCAAGGATGCACTAAATCCATCCATCCATCCATCCATCCTTTTATTGTAAATGTTATTTGTTTTTTACTATATAATACACTTTATTATATTTATTGCATTAAAATGATTTAGCTTCTTTGCAATTTTATTATATATATATATATATATATATATATACAGTGGGTACGGAAAG